TAAAAATCTTTGAAAGGGTCCTAAGAAGCAAGATCACCACCCATCTAGAAACCCATCAGTTACACAACCCAGGGCAACATGGGTTTAGAACAGGTCGCTCCTGTCTGTCTCAACTACTGGATCACTACGACAAGGTCCTAAATGCACTAGAAGACAAAAAGAATGCAGATGTAATATATACAGACTTTGCAAAAGCCTTCGACAAGTGTGACCATGGCGTAATAGCGCACAAAATGCGCGCTAAAGGAATAACAGGAAAAGTCGGTCGATGGATCTATAATTTCCTCACTAACAGAACACAGAGAGTAGTCGTCAACAGAGTAAAGTCCGAGGCAGCTACGGTGAAAAGCTCTGTTCCACAAGGCACAGTACTAGCTCCCATCTTGTTCCTCATCCTCATATCCGACATAGACAAGGATGTCAGCCACAGCACCGTGTCTTCCTTTGCAGATGACACCCGAATCTGCATGACAGTGTCTTCCATTGCAGACACTGCAAGGCTCCAGGCGGACATCAACCAAATCTTTCAGTGGGCTGCAGAAAACAATATGAAGTTCAACGATGAGAAATTTCAATTACTCAGATATGGTAAACATGAGGAAATTAAATCTTCATCAGATTACAAACAAATTCTGGCCACAAAATGAGCGAAACACCAACGTCAAAGACCTGGGAGTGATTATGTCGGAGGATCTCACCTTCAAGGACCATAACATTGTATCAATCGCATCTGCTAGAATTATGACAGGATGGATAATGAGAACCTTCAAAACTAGGGAGGCCAAGCCCATGATGACACTCTTCAGGTCACTTGTTTCTATCTAGGCTGGAATATTGCTGCACTCTAACAGCACCTTTCAAGGCAGGTGAAATTGCCGACCTAGAAAATGTACAGAGAACTTTCACGGCGCGCATAACGGAGATAAAACACCTCAATTACTGGGAGCGCTTGAGGTTTCTAAACCTGTATTCCCTGGAACGCAGGAGGGAGAGATACATGATTATACACCTGGAAAATCCTAGAGGGACTAGTACCGAACTTGCACACGAAAATCACTCACTACGAAAGAAAAAGACTTGGCAGACGATGCACCATCCCCCCAATGAAAAGCAGGGGTGTCACTAGCACGTTAAGAGACCATACAATAAGTGTCAGGGGCCCGAGACTGTTCAACTGCCTCCCAGCACACATAAGGGGGATTACCAACAGACCCCTGGCAGTCTTCAAGCTGGCACTGGACAAGCACCTAAAGTCAGTTCCTGATCAGCCGGGCTGTGGCTCGTACGTTGGTTTGCGTGCAGCCAGCAGCAACAGCCTGGTTGATCAGGCGCTGATCCACCAGGAGGCCTGGTCACAGACCGGGCCGCGGGGGCGTTGACCCCTAAACTCTCTCCAGGTAAACTCCAGGTAAGTGAATGTCAGTGTACAGTCGTCTGCATATGCATGTGATTCTGGGATGAGATGAAGAAGGTCGTTGAAGTAGACATTCCATAACAATGGTCCCAGCACGCTTCCTTGTGGAACATTTGCCCCAATAGGATGTCTTGCTGATTCCGTTCCATTGAGAACTACACTTAGAGATCTGCCATGAAGGTAATCACTGAGGAGACATAGCGTAGAGCCTGCAATTCCCAGTGCTTGAAGTTTTGCTAAGAGGCCCTGGTGCCACACCCGGTCGAAAGCGCCAGCAATGTCCAGTGCTACCACACAGCTGACTTTGGATTCATCCAGTGACTGGTGCCACTTAGTGGAGAGGTTTAACAACAGATCAGCAGCAGAGTAACCTTTCCTGAAGCCATATTGACGATCACAAAGTAGTGAGTGATAGTCAAAAAACTCTGTCATTTGTCTTGAGATTATTGTCTCAAGGATCTTACCAGTGATTAACAGGAGTGACACTGGTCTGTAGTTGCTGATTTCTGCTCTGCTCTTCTTTTTGTGAACAGGGACTATATTTGCCTCTTTCCATAGAGAGGGCCATTTACACTGTACTAGGCAGTGCTGAAAGATGCAAGTTAGAGGTGCTGCTAGCTGGTCTGCACATCTTCTCAGCAATCTTGGGCTCAACTTGTCTTGGCCCACAGCCTTTTCTCGGTCATGCGATTTAAGAAGAAATGCACCTCCTCCTGCCTTATTGTCACCACTGACAGTTTTGACAGTTCTTGCAGCTAGCCAAGGAGGGTCCCTTGCTGGATCAGGAACTTGCATTTTGGTAGCAAAGTGTTCAGCAAAGAGGTCTGCCTTCTCTTGACTACTAGTAGAGGTGGTTCCATCCTGTCGATTTAGAGGTGGAATGAGTTCATCAGGCAGATAACCTTGTCTGTCCTTGACCAGGGACCACCAGGTTTTGGAGCCTACCCTACCTGATGCTAGCTTTCTTTTAGTGTCCACCTCCCATTTAGCAATGGCCCACTTTTGAACGTCACCCATATGCCTACAGGCTTGCCTGTGCAAGTTCCTGTTATAGGTGGTAGAATGTCTCTTATACCTTCGCCATGCTTTGTACTTACCAGTAGCAGCCTCTCTACAACGAAAGCCAAACCAAGGCTGATCTGTAGGCTTCATCACATATTGCCGGTGAGGAATGTGTTCTTGTTGTAGATTAAGGATGTGTCCAGTGAAGGCTTTCACTTGGTTGTCAGCATCCCCTTGGAGAAGAGCATTCCAATCGGTGGTGGCAAGTTCAGAGCAAAGGGCTGGCCAATTACCTCTTTCCCATAGCCAGGTTGTGCGTGTGGACTCCTCACCTCGTTCTGTTGGGATCTTCAGTGTCATAAAAACAGCCTTGTGGTCAGACGAGCCAACGTAGCCGAGGGGTTGACAAGTGACTATGCCTTCTGCCAGATCACTCACTACTGGGTCAAGGGAGGAGCCAGAGATGTGAGTAGGGAAATCAACAAAGTTTCTCATGTCAAATACTGCAAGAAGGTCATCAAAGCCCCTCTGTATTATACAGAGGGACTTTGTATTGTAGCAGAAGGGAGTCAATATTTTCCATTAGGAAGTTGATGGGGTCTGCATGTTGCCACTGAGGTCTGTACATTGCACATGCTAGTACAGAGGTACTAGTGTTTATGCAGAGCTTGAAGAACATCATTTCAAGATGAGTAGGGGTGGCAACATTAATGTGCTGGGCATGAACACTTTTAGAGAAGCACACAGCAACACCTCCTCCTTGCCCTTGCCTGTCTCTTCTCATCCATGAGGTGTAGCCAGCAATTCTTGCAAAATTATCTGGAGTCCTGTCATCCAAAAATGTTTCAACAACAGCTATCATGTCGGGACGTCGAGTGTTCACAAAACTATGTGTGAGCTCTCTGTCTTTCTCTCTCTCTCTGTCTCTCTCTCTCTCTCTCTGTCTCTCTCTCTCTGTCTCTCTCTCTCTCTTTCTGTCTCTGTCTCTATCTCTCTCTCTCTCTCTCTCTCTCTCTCTGTCTCTCTCTCTCTCTCTCTCTCTCTCTCTCTCTCTCTCTCTCTCTCTCTCTCTCTCTCTCTCTGTGTCTGTCTCTCTCTCTGTAAAAGGACACAAGTGCAACTAATGTGACATTTTATTGTGGCAACGTTTTGCTCTCCAGGAGCTTTGTCAAGCTATTACAAACAATACTTGGACACAGAGGGTATATAAAGGCTCAGCGTGAGGTGCAATACTAGTGAGGTACCATTTCGATGTTCACTAGTGGTGGTGGTGGTAGTAGTAGTAGTAGTAGTAGTGACAAAAGTAATACAATATGGTAGAGCAGTTAATTCGTACATGAGTAAAAGGATATAAAAGCTATTACTTGGGTAACATAAAAATAGTTTGGACAAATATAGAGTGGTAAGAGGCAGCTTGTTTCAGTGTTCACTCTCTGTAATGTGCTTTGTGTTATACTACACTTGTGTCCTTTTACTTTACATATTGTCGGTAATTCTACCAACTTTATTACTCTCTCTCTGTGTCTGTCTCTCTCTCTCTATATCTCTCTCTCTCTCTCTCTCTCTCTCTCTCTCTATATATATATATATATATATATATATATATATATATATATATATATATATATATATATATATATATATATATATATATATATATATATATATATATATATATCTATATCTCTATATCTCTCTCTCTCTATATCTCTCTCTCTATATATCTCTATATCTCTCTCTCTATCTCTCTCTCTCTATATTTCTCTCTCCTCTATATCTCTTTCTCTATATCTCTCTCTCTCTATATATATCTCTCTCTCTCTTATATATCTCTCTCTCTATATCTCTCTCTCTCTATATCTATCTCTCTCTATATCTCTCTCTCTCTATATCTCTCTCTCTCTATCTCTCTATCTCTCTATATCTCTCTCTCTCTCTCTATATCTCTCTCTCTCTATATCTCTCTCTCTATATATATTTCTCTCTATATTATCTCTCTCTCTATATCTCTCTCTATATCTCTCTCTCTATATATCTCTCTCTATATATCTCTCTCTCTATATCTCTCTCTCTCTCTATATCTCTCTCTCTATATCTCTCTCTCTCTATATCTCTCTCTCTCTATCTCTCTCTCTCATATCTCTCTCTCTCTATATCTCTCTCTCTCTAATATCTCTCTCCTCTATCTCTCTCCTCTCTATATATCTCTCTCTCTCTATACTCTCTCTCATATATCTCTCTCTAATCTCTCTCTATATCTCTCTCTAAATCTCTCTCTCTCTCTATATATAAAATCTCTCTCTCTCTATATATATCTCTCTCTCTCTCTCTCTCTCTCTCTCTCTCTCTCTCTCTCTCTCTCTCTCTCTCTCTCTCTCTTCTCTCTCTCTCATACTCTCTCTCACTCTCTCTGTGCAGTTCAGAGTAGATAGTTCAGAGGGTGTTTTATTAAGTTACAAGTGGTCCAGGATAGGATAAATTGTTGTGCAAAATTTCCTCTCTACTGTGTACTAATACCAAATTGTTTTAGCTAGTTATTTTGACTTCATATTTTTTTGTTTATAACATGTGTTTGATATTGCAGGTACCTTCCATGTGGGTGTGAGTGTTTCTTGTACGTTTCATATAACCGAGGTGCGCTGGTTATATCTCAAGCAGCAATGCAGCACAACCACGAGGTGAGCAACCAGATGGCCCCTTATTACGCTATCAATCGACGAATTAGTAATGAAGAACTGAGGCAGGTAGCGGATGTAATAGAGTTGATACCCAGCAGTCGTGCTCTACAGCATTTCCTGCAAGAACATTTCCACCGCCCTACCACACTGCAAGATGCAAAGAATGTTCGAGCAAGACTGAAGACCCTACAGCTGAACCGTGCAGCAAACTCAGGTGCTGTTAGGTCATTTCAATCAGAAACTGTAATGCAGGAGATGAAAGAGGAAAATAGCAGTGAAGACAGTATTAAAACTTCGGTAGAAAACCTTAGCGAGGAAATTTATATGGATAACTTTCATGATGAAAATCAACAGGTGGAACAGGAACAGCAGGAACAACAGCAACAAGAACAGCAGCAGCAACAACAAAAACATCAGTTACAACAACAGCAGCAGCAACAACAAAAACATCAGTTACAACAACAGCAGCAGCAACAACAAAAACATCAGTTACAACAACAGCAGCAGCAACAAACTTATGTCCATCATCAACTGGGTCAGGATCAGCTTCTACAGCCAAAGTGCAAAGAGAAAGTTATTAGTGAAATAAAAGCCAAGTTATCAGACTTGATGCACTTTTGTGAAACTGATGTATTTTGGGAACGTATATCTGTCATTAACAAAATAATAGAGTGTTGGGAAAATGGAGATCATTTTGATATACATTATGCATCAGAAAATATTTACAGCAGTGACGACCATACAGTTATTAAACAAGAGTCTGTACTTCATGAGAGAGGTCATAGTTCATCTCAACCACAGAGGAAGGTACTCTCACAGGGAAGACTTGAGAAAACTCCACTTGTAAAGTTGCCCTCCTCCATAGTAAATAATTCAGACTCTGCCTTGAGAGGCTTTAACATGCAGCTTCTGCCCACTCCATGCGATGGGGAGGCTTTAAAACTTGTGTTTTCTCAAGACAAAAATAAAATACATAATACATCTGCTACAGTTCAAAAAAGGCATCCTGGTAGGCCTAGAAAAAATTATTTCAAGTTCCCTTTGAAGCAGAGAGAGGAGTTAAGTGAACTGTCATCAGTTATGGAATTATCTGAAAAGTCAAACTTAGTGAAAACTCCATCATGTAGTGAAAATATTGAACAAAACAGGGTAAGAACTAGCATGACTTACGCAAAGCAGCCCATAGTAATGTCTGTAACAAAAGATAATTCTTCAGATATGTGTGACCAGGCAATGGAAATTGAGATAGAAATTAATGGGGATGCTGTAAACGTAAAACGGGTTAAAATGGATCCTTTAGAGAGCTATGAAGTCGATGTGACTGATAACATTCATTAAAAAAGGCAGAGTATATCAGACCAGCTTACAAACAAATTGCAGTCCTGGTGTTACAATTTACTGACAAGTAATATTTTAGTATTACAACTTACAAACAAGTTGCAGTCATGGTATTTCAGCTTCAAAATGAGTAGCACTCTTTGTATTACAACATACCACACCAGTTGTATTCTGTGTTTCAACTTCAAAACCAAGTTGTTTGCAAAGAAAACAATAGTACAAACAACATTATGTTTCAGACATGCTCATATTGCAACTTTCTCATTGTAAAACTTTAATTAGTTTGTAATACCTTGTTTGTGTCAGTATGGATATGTATAACTTGAGTATTTGCATGGTGGAGACCTATTTCATAATATCCACCACGATTGTAAGGAAAGGTTAATAAAATATTTATCTTAAGTTTTTTTTTTTATTATATGCAACCCATAACTTTTTGATACCATTCCATGCTTCACATTCAGTGATAGTTCTAGTGTACCATCTCATGCTTCACATTCAGTGATAGTTCTAGTGTACCATCTTATGCTTCACATTCAGTGATAGTTCTAGTGTACCATCTCATGCTTCACATTCACTGATAGTTCTAGTGTACCATCTCATGCTTCACATTCACTGATAGTTCTAGTGTACCATCTCATGCTTCACATTCAGTGATAGTTCTAGTGTACCATCTCATGCTTCACATTCACTGATAGTTCTAGTGTACCATCTCATGCTTCACATTCAGTGATAGTTCTAGTGTACCATCTCATGCTTCACATTCACTTATGGTTCTAGTGTACCATCCCATGCTTCACATTCAGTGATAGTTCTAGTGTACCATCTCATGCTTCACATTCACTGATAGTTCTAGTGTACCATCTCATGCTTCACATTCAGTGATAGTTCTAGTGTACCATCTCATGCTTCATATTCACTGATGGTTCTAGTGTACCATCCCATGCTTCACATTCACTGATGGTTCTAGTGTACCATCTCATGCTTCATATTCACTGATGGTTCTAGTGTACCATCCCATGCTTCACATTCACTGATGGTTCTAGTGTACCATCTTATGCTTCATATTCACTGATGTTCTAGTGTACCAACACTAATGGTTCTAGTGTACCTAAAGACTAAAGCACATCTACTAACATCACAATCAGATTACCCTCCAGGTGCAACATCCCTTCTCCTCTAGAGTGCAGGCAATGACCTTTCCACTTCCAGGACTCAAGTCCAGTTAACTGGTTTCCTTGAATCCCTTCATAAAAGTTACCCTACTCTCACCCCAGTGGCACAGACATTTCAAACCACTTTCCTAAATGCATTCCTATTTACAATGCTCTCACAAAATTGTTGGATGCTCATGCCCAATATTTTCTTCTTAAAGCTGAGGTAAAATTATTTATTTTCTTGCATAATAGTATAACTTAATGATCTGTACAAATTTATTGCCTTCAAGGAGGAAAGTCCCTCAGCATGGCACAGGAGCTTTTGATTTGAAAAATTAAGCCTCTTGTCTTGTTCCTGAAATTGAATCTAAATACCCTTTTCCCTCTCTCTCCATCTGGCCTTTGAGAATATTCCCCTTGTGAATTATGGCTTCAAGGTTGAAGGAAAAGTGATAGCTGTCTCTTCCATTTCATTAAGGACCTTGGTTTGCTGTGGGAAACCTTGGGATGTGCTGGGCCGCCCTCTGGGGACCCAGTAGGCAGCCTAGCATGTTCTTAGGTGATGGGAGTATCCCTAGTTGCTGCCTGTCAGTTCTGAGAGGTGATGACCAAAGAGGGTATGATTCGTCAGGTTTCCAGTTGCCTGCCTCTTGTTGGCTGAGTCTGGCTCAACTGATGCAGCAAGTGCCATTCCAAAAAGATGATTTACTTTCATGAAAGGTAAGGTAGGGAGACGTTTCCATGCAGCAACAGCACTACCAGCCACGCTAAGGGTACTCTTGGACAAAGAGGATATAAGATTTATTTTTATTTCTGCTTGAAGCTGCCCCTTTCCCCCCCCCCCTCCACCTTTATAACAAAAAATAGAAATGGATTATCATTTCCATGTTATGCCTTACACCTGTGGTACCCCTAACTAACCCTTGCATAGCCACAGACTTTCCTTTGAACCAGGTACTACTTTTGGTGAATAACTCCTTGCCTTACTCAGCTGCCAGTGTCAATACCTCTGACCTTCTCCAGACTTTAACCATGATCCCAGCTTCTCCCACAATTGTGCATCAGTATTCAGGATGGACTGGCTCGAAGCCTCTGTTCAAACGACCTTAACCTGTACTTAATTCCGACACTATTACTGCCGCTCCTCATTCTTACTCTTTGAAAAAAGCTGCCAAGAAACCACTTGTCAGACTAATTGTATTTCAAGGACACTGAAACAAAATTCTTTTATACAATGCAACTTTATTTCTTTTCTTAAGTATATAAAATGTAGTTTACATGTAATAAAATATTGTTAAGCATAAAAGACAATCACTAGCATGTGGTGCTTTTCTGGAAGACTAATACTAACACTTACAGGCCACTTAAGAACTAAATATAGGTTGTGCAAGAATGGTATATAATACCGACAAGATGAAATTAAGACACATGTGCAACATCTGGGTATCTTTATTGTAGATGTTTCGCCATCCAGTGGCTTTATCAATACAAATTCCAGGACATAACTTGAAGACAGTAGGACTATATACAAAAGATGAGGTAATCAGTCCCTCAACCTTGGAGTTGGTGCGAAGAGCACCATAGTCGTGGAGATTCTGAAGCAGAAGCAAGGAGCCTGGCGCTTATATACTAACGTCAGGTGTAGCAGACGAGGGCATAGTCACTGGTAGGCAGGATTCCCCAGTGGAAGTAGGTCCTTCCCAAAGAGATGGGTTAGTTGTAGCAGAAGTTGCCGTAGTCGTGAAGGTTATGTACATGTCCTCAGAATCAAGATTCCATGATGTTGCAGTGTCTCCAAGGTTGAGGGACTGATTACCTCATCTTCTGTATATAGTCCTACTGTCTTCAAGTTATGTCCTGGAATTTGTATTGATAAAGCCACTGGATGGCGAAACGTCTACGATAAAGATACCCAGATGTTGCACATGTGTCTTAATTAAATATAGGTTACTGAGTACGAGTTTTTTTTTTTTTAATGTAAAAAAAATGAGGTAGCTAAGTGAACAAGAGTACAGTTTTAAGTATACATAAATGCAAAAAAAGAGAGGTAGCTAAATGAAAATGGTACCATTTCAAGTATGTATTAATACTTTAGACTGATTTAATGACTGGGATTTCATAAACAGTTTAAAAATGGCTCTATGTCTTACGGCTCTGTGCTTTCAGGCTATATGCCTTCAGGCTATGTGTCTTTAGGCTATGGAATAATCATAAGAGATGGTGAAAAAACAGGAAGTTATTTAGGCTTCAGTAAATTATAACTGAACAAGATAAGTAATTAATTTTTCAATGAGAGTTTGAGGAAGACTGAAAGAACAAGGATAGAGTTGAATGAGCTATTTTTTGGGTTTATTTATGTTAGGGAGATGTGATTTTTAACAATAGCTCTAAGGTGATTGCCAGACTGGGGACCTTTCACTGGTTCAGGCAATGAATTTCAGATCTTAGGGCTTTTTATGTACATTGTGGTCTTACACAGAGTGACTTGGACGTGGGGGATGTTGAAGAGAGTTTTGTGCCTTGTGTTGGGACTATGTGTTCTGTTGTAGCTATTAAGTAAAAATTTGAGGGGAGGGTTTATGTTGGAGTCTAATATTCTATATATATAACAGACACAATAATGTGAGTGCATACTTTGTATATTAAGTAAGTTCAAGTTTATGCTGAGCACTTGGGGGAAAGGAACCCTTTACTTGTCATGCAAGGCTTCCTGCATCATTTTCTTGTTTGGATGTCAGCATTTTAGTGGACTGTAGTCTCTTATGTGTCTGCAGTCAGAGGATGGTTTCTCTCACTTCCTTAGACAATGCCTAAGTTTTGTTGTTTTATATAATAAATGGGGACCTCTACATGCTAAATCCTGGTTATGACTTGCCTGATTTGTGGGAACATGATTTTGATCATGGTTCAAGGATAAGGTCTTTACTAACAGGTCAAAGAGTGAGAGAGGTGTTAGCTTTGCTGTGATTGCTGGTGAGGTCTTTTTGTGCACAAGAACCCCTCAAGGGAGTTTCCTTGATGCTGATGAGGGGCTCTTGATCTAGGGAATTGGATCTGTGCTCCGGTTCCCTGAATTGAGCCCAAATACCTTCCATCTCCCCTCACACGTACTGTATAATCCTATGGGTTTAGCGCTCCCCCATGATTATAATAATAATAATGTGCACAAGAAATGAGCAAGTCCTCTGTGTTCACTATGGAGGTCTATGCAGTCCTCACTGCTTTTATCCTGATAGCTGGCTTAGTTGGATCACAATTCACTGTCCTCTGGCCCAGTATGCTGCTGTCTACCCTGTTGTCCAAAAGGATCAAGGAGTGGTTAGCTTGACTTCACACCTGGCACAAGGATATGGAGTTATGTTAGTGCTTGAGCCATGTTGGTGTCCCAGAAAATAAATTAGCAAATAGAGAGGCAAAGGCTGTTATAACAAGATCACTCCTTAACAGACTTTTACCTTGCCTCTGTGTCTTACCTATCAACTTGTCAGTATTGTATGCCATTTTGATATTTGCTCTCTCAGACACTGCAACACAACAGCATCTTGGTACAGAAGAGAAAACACCTTGGACAACTTTTTCAAGAGAGAATGGTTGGACCTGAGAGGGACGTGACCTCTCAGTGATTACATTCTTTCTTCTACTACTCTACACCTCTTCTGCCGACAGTATATAAGTCTCCACACTGTGGAGACTTATATACTGAAACAGAATTCGTCTCCAGGCTGAGGGACTGACAACCTCAAATCTACATCTTCAAGGGTGGCAAACTGATTACATCGTCTTCACATCTCTACTGGTCCTGCCTACTTTCTGTACTCAACTGAAGAAGCCACTGCGTAGGCGAAATGTTTCGGAATACAGATGCCTAAATGTTGCCTATGTGTCTTACTTACCAGACTTTTACCTTACAATGACTTTGTTGGTCTTATCCACAGATATGTCCTTGAGAAGTGGCAGGCCCAGTGAGGCCCCAGATTAGAAGCAAGTTAAACAGGGTTCAGCAGGATACAGGTGTTTGGCCCTCTTCCTCCAGCAGGTGTCATCACTTGAGACAAGTCTTTGTCACTTGTGGATTGGGCACACATTTCCCCTATTGCCACTAGTTAGCAGGTGCTCCCTCCTCTGTGTAGCTGACTGTGCAACACTTTTAACAGTTTGTCCACAGTTTGGTCCCTTCTGTTTTATTATAACTGGGAGGCCCATAAGAGAACTTTTAGGAGAGTTTATTGACATTAATAATTTAAT